CCCCCCGAAAGTGCCGCCCTAGGCAAATGCCTTGTTTGCCTTGTGGTAAATACATCCCTGGCTGTAGAGAGTATGTGTTTAGGGTATGTAGTCTGTGTTTGCATACAGGAGATCTAGCGTGTGTGTAGGGAATCCAGGGTGTGCATACAGGATGTACTGTGTATGTCAGGAGTGGAGTGTGTGTCTAGCTGTGCAGTGTGTGTCTATAGGGAATGGGATCTAGTGTGTGTAGGGGGTCCAAAGCTTGTATAGAGGATTGTGTGTTTGCATAGAGGATCTAGATGCTTGGGGGATCTAGAGTGTGTATAAGAGATGAAGTGTCCAAACCACAGGACTAACTGGGGCAGGACCCCAAAATTCCTAAAAAGAGCTGATTACTACTTTTTCCTATCCCCTCCATGCCCTTACAGCACAGAATGTCTAATCTATCTCCCCTAGAACTGTTTTAAGAGACCGGGGCAGCCGCAACCTGTGCAGCGGGACCAAGCAACAATCTCATGGAACTCTAATTCAGCCTGGTCCAAGGCGGCTGCCCATTAAAACTGCCGACCACTCTTGTGAGCACCCAGGAGAGTGCTTTTTGGAGGGGAGAAGGACAAACTATCAATGCTCACCTAAAGTCAGGGGGAGTCCCCATTTCCAAAGCCAAAACTACTTGTTTCAAAGACCGGCACTTAACCACGGCAGCCTGGAACTCTGTGTTGGATCATAAAGTAGTCTCAGCCTGGTCAAACTTTACTCAACAATTTCTCAGGCATGGTAGATCCGATTGGGGAACTTTTTGGACATGTTGTTTGGGGGAATTAGACCTGTCTGGAGAGGTCTTCATTATTAATGTATGATGAATAAAAACTTATATTTTTATTATATTATTATAAGGCACCCTAATATCTGGAGAAGAATAAAGTCAAGAATAAATAATTGAATTATCTCCCAGACACAGCAGCGCCTGGGTTGCAACCTAAAGTCAAAGTTAATGACCTCCGGTTGTTATTGCCCCTATATATATATATATATAATAAAATACAAATAAGGTGCACTCTCAGGTCTTAACAAGTGCTTAATTTATTTCAATTGCAAATTACATGTGCAAAAAATTTTTTTTCTAGTGATCGACGTTTCGACTCCTATAGGGCCTTTTTCAAAATGAGTGCCAAGTTCATCTCTTTTTTATATATATATATATATATATATATATATATATACATATATGAAACAAGGGGGGTTGTGTCTTGTGTTTTATATATATATATATATATATATATATATAAATATGGCTGTTTGGTGATAATAAATGTTGTTGTACCCTTCTCTATGTGTCATCTAGTGTTTGAGGAATGAACTATAATCACTACAGTGCGATATTCTTCAGCTAGAGGGTACTGAGCCGGAGTACAGAGCTCCATAACTTTGTCTATAGGGGATCTAGTGTGTGTATGAGATCCAGAATGCATATAAAGGATGTAGTGTCCATAGGGGATCTAGTGTGTGTGGGGGTGCAGTGTGTGAGGTGTGTGAATGTGTTGGGTGGGATAGGGCCTGTATTGTGCTTTCAGTGCTGATGGAAGCAAATCTTTTATACCATTTCCCTTTTTACCTTTGGACAGGGAGAGGGGACATTGAAAAACCTGGTGTTCTGGTTGCATTGAGTGACTCTAGCCTGCAGCTCCTCTAGGTACAGGCTGAATACACTGCTCTCTCGAACTTCAGCATTGTGCTGTGTCGGAGAAATGCTTTGGTAACCCACGGCAACACTCTAAACCGCCAGTCTCGCAAGAGCAATATTCTGCACCATGGTGCAGGCTAGAGTCTCCTAGGCCCTCCTCTCTTACAGTAAAGTGCAGTGGGCTGGAGAAGGACATGTTTGATCTCCCTTCTGGCCACTGAAGGCACACAGCAAGCCAGCGTTAGGATAGCGCTGGTCCTGTATGGGCCAGAAGGAGAGATCCTTTGAGCGCCTGTGTCTGCATCGTCCCATGGCCATCGCGACATACCAGCATTTGTCTGGTTTCCCCTTTGGCCTGTCCGGTTATGAATGTCAGTATGTGCATACAATTCACCTAACAAAAAGGTGTTGTAAGTGGTGTTTACCATCCACGGTTGGGTAGATGGACAAAATAAATGTCCACCCATGGTGCCATGTAACCTAGGTACACCCAGGGACGTATTAGCCGTGAGGCAAACAAGGCATTTGCCTTGGGCGGCATTTTCCAGGGGGTGGCAAAAAAAAAACATCCCCAAATGCCCAGGGCAAATGCCTTGTTAGCCTGGCGGTTGGGCGGCGCTGGCAAGGTAGCACTTTGCCCTGAGCTCTCTGCTCCGCTCCCTTGCGCGCCACAGAGTGATGCCCGGAGCCAGAATACAGGGAGTGCAGAATTATTAGGCAAGTTGTATTTTTGAGGATTAATTTTATTATTGAACAACAACCATGTTCTCAATGAACCCAAAAAACTCATTAATATCAAAGCTGAATATTTTTGGAAGTAGTTTTTAGTTTGTTTTTAGTTATAGCTATGTTAGGGGGATATCTGTGTGTGCAGGTGACTATTACTGTGCATAATTATTAGGCAACTTAACAAAAAACAAATATATACCCATTTCAATTATTTATTATTACCAGTGAAACCAATATAACATCTCAACATTCACAAATATACATTTCTGACATTCAAAAACAAAACAAAAACAAATCAGTGACCAATATAGCCACCTTTCTTTGCAAGGACACTCAAAAGCCTGCCATCCATGGATTCTGTCAGTGTTTTGATCTGTTCACCATCAACATTGCGTGCAGCAGCAACCACAGCCTCCCAGACACTGTTCAGAGAGGTGTACTGTTTTCCCTCCTTGTAAATCTCACATTTGATGATGGACCACAGGTTCTCAATGGGGTTCAGATCAGGTGAACAAGGAGGCCATGTCATTAGATTTTCTTCTTTTATACCCTTTCTTGCCAGCCACGCTGTGGAGTACTTGGACGCGTGTGATGGAGCATTGTCCTGCATGAAAATCATGTTTTTCTTGAAGGATGCAGACTTCTTCCTGTACCACTGCTTGAAGAAGGTGTCTTCCAGGAACTGGCAGTAGGACTGGGAGTTGAGCTTGACTCCATCCTCAACCCGAAAAGGCCCCACAAGCTCATCTTTGATGATACCAGCCCAAACCAGTACTCCACCTCCACCTTGCTGGCGTCTGAGTCGGACTGGAGCTCTCTGCCCTTTACCAATCCAGCCACGGGCCCATCCATCTGGCCCATCAGACTCACTCTCATTTCATCAGTCCATAAAACCTTAGAAAAATCAGTCTTGAGATATTTCTTGGCCCAGTCTTGACGTTTCAGCTTGTGTGTCTTGTTCAGTGGTGGTCGTCTTTCAGCCTTTCTTACCTTGGCCATGTCTCTGAGTACTGCACACCTTGTGCTTTTGGGCACTCCAGTGATGTTGCAGCTCTGAAATATGGCCAAACTGGTGGCAAGTGGCATCGTGGCAGCTGCACGCTTGACTTTTCTCAGTTCATGGGCAGTTATTTTGCGCCTTGGTTTTTCCACACGCTTCTTGCGACCCTGTTGACTATTTTGAATGAAACGCTTGATTGTTCGATGATCACGCTTCAGAAGCTTTGCAATTTTAAGAGTGCTGCATCCCTCTGCAAGATATCTCACTATTTTTGACTTTTCTGAGCCTGTCAAGTCCTTCTTTTGACCCATTTTGCCAAAGGAAAGGAAGTTGCCTAATAATTATGCACACCTGATATAGGGTGTTGATGTCATTAGACCACACCCCTTCTCATTACAGAGATGCACATCACCTAATATGCTTAATTGGTAGTAGGCTTTCGAGCCTATACAGCTTGGAGTAAGACAACATGCATAAAGAGGATGATGTGGTCAAAATACTCATTTGCCTAATAATTCTGCACTCCCTGTATGATGCCATATTCCAGCTCCCGGCATCACTCTGCGGCGCACAACAGAGCTTAGCAAAGAGCTCACTAATCAGTGCTCCCTCGCCAGCGCCGCCCACCCAGCAGCCCCACTGGACCGCAGGGAAAGGGAGAACCCCCCCCAGCGTTCCCAAAAGGAGGCAAGGGGGGGTTGAATGTGAGTGTGTCTGTTATTGAGTGAGTGTTTGTCTGTTAGTGTGTGTGTGTGTTTGTCTCTTAGTGTGTGTGTCTGTTAGTGAGTGAGTGTGTCTCTTAGTGTGTGTGTGTGTGTCTATAAGTGAGTGTGAGTCTGTTAGTGAGTGTGTGTATGTCAGGGAGTGTGTCAGTTAGGGAGTGTGTTAGTGTGTGTGTGTCAGTGAGTGTATGCGTGTCTGTTAGTGAATGTGTATATCTGCTAGTGACTGTATGTGTCTGTTAGTGAGTGTGTATGTCTGTTGGCTTGTGTATGTGTGTTTGTCAGTGAATGTGTGTATTTAGAAGGCAGGGCAGAGGGGAAGGGTGGGGTGGCGCGGGGGGGGGAGCACCTGAGTTTTGTCATGCCTAGGGCAGCACAAAACTAGGATACACCACTGGGTACACCTTTGAAGGAATACATCTCTTACGCATTTGTAACTGTACTTTTGATTTTGGCTTTAGAACATTTACATTTCTGAGACACCACCAAAATAAAATCCTGAACAGTCCATTCGTAGCCGAATTTGTCATCTCCTCTTTTTGATTCCTGGGTGCAATGGTTCCACCAAAGCCATGATGAGCTGCCACTGAAAACCCTTAATGAGCCTTTGTAATTAAAACACTTGTAGTTCCAAATCACATATGCAATAAGGAATAACATAATCAGGGTTATTCACGAATATGTGAATTCTGATTCTTGCTTTCAAATCTCTACATAATGCTGCTCCCACCTATCTATCCTCCCTTATACACAAGTATGTCCCGTCTAGGCCCTTACGATCTGCTGAAGACTTACGTCTATCTTCTGTCTGTACTCCCACCTCTGATGCTCGCCTTCAAGATTTCTGGAGGGCTGCACCATTCCTGTGGAACTCGCTTCCCTCCTCCGTTAGATGCTCACCCAGTCTCCACTCCTTCAAAAAATCTTTAAAAACCCACTTCTTCATAAAAGCGTATCAATTAAACTGTTAATAGCTCCTGACTGATTCCTCTTCTGCAACTGTCATTAGTCTAATACTATCCTTACCTTTTTGTGTCACTTTACCCCACTCCCTCTAGCATGTAAGCTCATTGAGCAGGGCCCTCAACCCCTCTGTTCCTGTGTGTCCAACTTGTCTGGTTACAACTACATGTCTGTTCGTCCACCCACTGTAAAGCGCTGCGGAATATGTTGGCGCTATATAAATAATAATAATAATGTGAACTGTCCTGAATTATAAGGAGATTTCAACATTTTGGCTGCAGAAGCAGAATTTTAAAAATGTCCCCAATCCTCTCCAAATTCCCTAAAATGTCCCATTCTGTATTCCAGACATTTCACACTTTGTGGAATAACCCTGAAAGAGCTGCCAACCCAGCCATTAGTCACAGTGTTGGTGTAATTATACATTATGTTTATTTTTCTGGATATTATTAGGGCTGCTGCCCTACTCCCTATATTGTCACACCCTCCACATAATGAAATGAATTCGTGTAATATCCGAGCTTTTATTTTCTTAGAAAACTTTTTCCTTCCCGCTCTCTCACCACGTGACATGATAACAGCGTGGGAGGGGGAGCTGCTCTGAAATGCAACCAATCGGCTCCGCCCATTCTACGGTCTCCAAGGGAGAGACGGACGCTGTGGTCTCTTCTGATTGGCTTCTCGCGGGTTACGCCCTTAGGCGGTGACGTCACGTCGGACTCTGGCTCGGCTTGCGGTGCCTTGGCTTCAGTCAGCGGGCAGAACGTGGCCTGCTGTCAGCTGCGGGGTTCGAGTGCCGGAGGGGGAGACACAGCTGGCAGGTGCATGGAGCTGCGGAGCCCAGGACTCCCCATGGAGGGAGTGCCCGCCCTGACCGGGGACAACGACGAGTACGAGAGCTTGCCGGAAGGAGCGTCTCCTGTCATCCACATGCTGGCGGGAGCGGTGGCTGGAGTGCTGGAGCACACCGTCATGTACCCCGTGGACTCGGTCAAGGTGAGCACTCCGAGGGGAGGGGGCGGGGCCTAGACAGGTGTCATGGCGCAATACATGGAGAGCTGGCATGGCTGGCCCAGGGCATGGGGAGTGCGGCCAACATTCACAGAGTACTGCATTCAGCGTGTGTCTGAGGGCAGGCACTAGTAAACATGAATAAACACTTCTTCTATTAGCTGTACTAACTAGAATACAGTGAATAGAACTGACACTGAGTGAGAGTGATTGTTGCCCTGGTTAGTATTATAATTGTAATATCAAACACCTCCTAGACTCTTCTTAAAAACAAAACAAACAAAAAACTAATTCTCAATGTGACTAAATGAGTGTGTCACGAAAAGTCAAGTTTTTGTTTACATTTATTTTGCAAGCTTAATGAACGCTAAAGTTTAGGGTGTTTTTTTCCCCCCTATTATTTATACAAGTCTTTAGTGTGTTTTATTTTTTTCCCCCTAGATTATTCTACGGAAAAGCATCATTAAAGGAGACCGTCTGAGTACTAAAACCACTATATAATGTAGTGATGTTGGTGCATTGGCCCTGTACTCTTAATTCAATAATGTACAATATTTGTTTCAGAGTACTGACAAGATTAAGTTGCTAGAGACACCCCTTAGAGCGTTACTATTATAAAAAATTGTTTTAATGTACTATTGGTGCTTACTGTCCCCATTTAAAAAATAAATAAAATAAAAACAAGAAAAAAATAAACATAAGACAATGTATGGCTTAGCTCAGGTACCTGTAAAGAGCCGCTGGCTTGCCGTCAAAAGTAGCAGAATCGGAGAGTGGCAGCTAGCAAACAGCAGGTAAGAGGTAAAGCAGTTTTTAAATAGTTTGCTCCATACAGTGGTGTGCATGCTATGGCCTCCTGGCACCATCACTGATACAGCTCTGTGGTGGTTATGGTTCTTTAATATCTTCAAAATTAAATTCAAGAACATTTGAATTTACAGATTGCAGGGGTTGCCTTGCATGATCTGTAGATCCACAATGCTTCTCTGTGTGAACCAACTTACTGGACCAATAATATAGAAAAGTACCACTCTAAAAACTAAACTCTAAATGAAAAAAATCTGTATCTTTTATATTTAACATCAGTTACTTTAAAAAGGTCTGTAGTGTTGTTGTGGTGCCTTTTTTTTTTTTTTTTTTTAAATACATTTTTTTGATGTGTTTATGGAAGTTGAACTCCCTATTATATCTGGCAAGAGTGTAACCTATAATCTTACTGATCTTTGTCCAGAGTCGCACGCTCTGTTCTAGTTAAACACAATCATTATTCCTAGTAGTTGTAGTAGTAATAGTTTGACAATATCTCCTTTTTATTGGAATAATTTTTTTTTTTTCCCTCCTCTAACCCGTAAACTCTAGTAAGTGTGTGTTTATGTTGCATCCAAATGGTTCAGTGATGCTTTTCAGTGTTTACTATTGAGTTCGATTTATTATATCTCAATCATACTCAACTTGTATAAAATGTTACATGTGAGAGTTCCTGTGACTCCCTGAGGTAGTATTGTATTTGGTGTTATCTGCACTTATCACACTATACCTCATTTTGTTCTCTCCTGGCCCATTGAGGGATCTTTAACAAGTGCTTTACATGTGCAAATATAATACTGTGCTTAATTATTCATACATAACCCTCAAAATGTGTGGGTGTCTTGACGTTGATACATATTGTTGTATAGAGTTATACAATTCACCTGGACAGTACAATAGACTGTGCTGCTGGGTCTTGAAAGTTTGCACAATGAAGTGTATAAGTATCTTCATTTGTATATTTTTCTACGAAGGCAACAAACTAATTCTGCAATTGGTTGGCTCCTTATCAATAAGTGTTATAGGCTGGGTCCTTTGTGCTTGGTAGTCTGCATCGAAAAAGCATATGTTGATGATGGGGAAAATAAACAAGGTTTCAATTTTTTTCTCTTTATTTGCAATGTTTGTCCTGGCTCTGACTTGTCCGAACTGCATTATGTTCTGATTTGCTAAATCTTTAAAGAATCACTCTGGTCACATAACTACTTCATGACAATACTTGAAGGTTAAAAAGTAAAGGTAAATCCAGCTGTCACCATTGTAATGACTAAAGTGGGAAGAGGGAGGAGAGTCCCCAGCACCAAGGGAGCCTGGTGCTGGAGAAAGGTAAGCGTTTAACCCTTTCCTCCCCCTAGAGCCTGGCACTATAGTGGTCCTTTAGGTCATGTAAATGTTTAAGACATGACAGATCTCCTTTTAAAGGACCACTCTAGACACCCAGACCACTTCAGCTTAATGAAGTGGTCTGGGTGCCAGGTCCAGCTAGGGTTAACCCATTTTTTTAATAAACATTAAAGAGAAACTGCTATGTTTATTAATGGGTTAAGCCTTCCCCCTAATCCTCTAGTGGCTGTCTCATTGAGACCTAGGAAAGCATTATGAATGCTTTCCTATGCGACCGGCTGAATGCGCGCGCAGCTCTTGACGCGCGTGCGCATTCAGCCGACGGGGCGGATCGGAGGAGGAGAGCTCTCCGCCCAGCGCTGGAAAAAGGTAAGTTTAAACCCCTTTCCAGAGCCGGGCGGGAGGGGGTCCCTGAGGGTGGGGGCACCCTCAGGGCACTATAGTGCCAGGAAAACGAGTATGTTTTCCTGGCACTATAGTGGTCCTTTAAGGCCTGATAGTTTTGCTTAGTATATTTATAACGATACCCTATCCTGCGTGGAGGAATTAACTTTAAAATATTTGTACTTCAAAAATGTCCATTTAAACTTCTTCTTTCCTCCATGAAGGCTGCCTATTTCCATATGTATGAAAGCACTTACAACCCCCAAGTCATAGTCCTATTTTTTTTATGTGATTGTGATAATGTAAACATTATTGGAACACTATAGCAACCAAGAAAACTTAAATCTCTTTGAGGTGTCCTAGATGCAGTGTCCCTGTCCCCTTAGCCCTGCAATGTAAAACAAATTAAAGACTGTAACTAGAGGCACTTCTTGGACGCTGACGGAGTTTAACTCCATGAAACGACAATGGACGACGTCCTGACGCTTTGCATGAGGATGTCAAACATCTTCAAAATGTCATATCAAAGCTCTTATTCAATGTTTTCCTGTGGGGTAGCTCTAATGTGCACATGGCGCTCCATGAGGGAGGTTACTGAAAGAGTTAAGTGTTAACGGGGTTTGTACAGCCATAGTAATAGCCATAGGGACACTAAAGTGTTAGGAATACTATAGCGTTCAGAAACTGTATTCTTAACGTTATAGTATTCCTTTAAGTCCACATTTAATGGCTGTCAGTATGACAACCATTAAAGGCGTTTACACTGCACTGACTGACTGAAACCCGGTGGAAGCCCCATAGGAAAGAATTGATTCAGTGCTTTTCTACAGGGAAGATTGTGTGTCCTGCATGCACAGGTCTCGCATGGGATTAAACATTGACTGGAGGTGAACAAAGGTGAGTAAATCTTTTATTTTGAATTTGGAAAAGGGGCACTATTGCGTTGGGAATGCAAATTTGTATTAATTCTACAGTGTTCCCAGAACAGTGTCGTGTCAGAGTAAAAGTTTATTTCTAATTTTTATTTTAGAATGGGAGATAGCTTCATACAATACGTTACTAATAATTACGGCAATAAAATCCCACTACAAGCCAGGTCAAACACTCACCAGCTCTACACTGTGGCAAAACTACAGCCGGGATGGCTGCACCGGAGCTCGAACACTGAGGGGGGCCCTTCGGGTGGTCCGTGTACTTGGGGCCACCCAATGGGTATTGTTGAAAAGGGGCCCAGTCAGGTGCCGCAGCCCTTTAGGAGCCTGATCCAGGCCCCTTTCACATTGGCAGTGCTGGGAGCAAGTGAGTACAGGTCACTTTTTCTCCCAGCTAAAAACATCCACATGGGAGGAGGTAGCATCAATGGAGCGGGACCTCGATCCAGACCCACACTCCAATCACTTGCACAGCAGCCACCCTCCTGCAAATAAAAGGTATTTAACAGAAGGGTGACTAACAATTATAACGTGTCTGCTTGTTTTTGACTGTCTGTGCATGTGTCAGTGTGTGTTTATTAGTGTCTGTAAATGTGTATGTACGTATATCTGTGTAAGTATGTATGTGGCAGTGTGTGGATGCATACATCCCAGCAATCG